ACCAAAATGATGCTCTTCTAAAATCTCCAAACTAGTAAAGTAAAAAAAAACAGTATTGGGCTGAAGTACGACACCAGATTTTGAAAGTTACATTTCGAGTGAGAGAAAGAGAGCATCAGTATGACAGCTCGTGCCACAGGCTGTCAATTTCACCTATTGAGGGATAGCCAGATTGTAAGTGGCCACGTAAACTGAAAGAACGACGGGTTGTTTTGGGCGGCCCATATGGAATATGGAATTATGCCACGGTCATATAAACCATCTTTATGTCGCCTGTGATGATCGAGGAGATCGAGATCAGCGAGTACAATGCCGTACCGCCACACTTATTGCAGAGCCTCAGAGTCAATGCCACCGTCTATATGTAGGTGATGAATCGAGTTACGTGACCATATGTCTTCCTGGGGACAGCTTCTCTTCCACATGGCTATATGACGCAGGAGTTGCAGAGACGAGAATTTCTCCTGATTATGTCACCACCAATATGTCGCCTCATTTCCTGGTCTACATCGTCTACAAAGAATCACATCATTGGCTTCTCAATAACTAAGTCTCTTTGAAGAAAACGATCGTGGACAAGGTGGCTAGTATGAAGAAGATCCAGACATGTAGACACTTCCGTGAATGTTCTCTTGGCTGAGAGCTGTTTCCTTGGCTGGCACTTTACTGTGGAGACATTTCTTTGACTATACATTGAGTTTTGTCTGGCAAATGTCATTGTTTTTCTTTATATTATAATTTGTTATCAATTTGCAGGAACACCCGAAGATAGATAGATAGATAGATAGATAGATAGATAGATAGATAGATAGATAGATAGATGTGAACGGACTGATAGGTAGGTAGATATGGATAAACTGAGACATAAATATATATGAGAAGACTGCAATAGCTAGCTAGCTAGATAGATAGATAGATAGATGTGAAAGGTATGAATAAGAACAGATTTTAGTAAGAGTACACTTGTATAGAGTTGTGCCTGTATTGTTTTTTTTTAGAAAATATGTCTATATCTGTCAGCGGAAGTAAACATTGAGCAAATATAAAAATACTAAACACATATCATAAAAAAATGAATTACTGAATAAATTAATGAGGTTTCTTATCGTGGTGGAAGTAACAGCATAGTTCACACGGTGGCCAGTTTTGCGGGGTCATGTCCAGATACAAAGCAATGATTTCGAAAGCTGACTATTGCTTCAGCCTCTTTCGCAATGGTTACAGGAAATTACTTACTTCATTAAACAACAAAGTCTGAACCCAACAGGCATATGTGCGTAATAGAATCATGTGTATAGATATGCTTGTTTCCGTATGCCTTCATAGCAATGAAATTGTATATGTGAAAATGCATAATATATTTAGATAGATAGATAGATAGATAGATAGATAGATAGATAGATAGATTCGAGCAGACTGAGGTAGATACATACAATCAGACTGAAATAGATAGATAGATAGATAGATAGATAGATAGATAGATAGATAGATAGATATGAGCAGCCTGAGATAGATAGATAGATAGATTCGAGCAGACTGAAATAGATACATACAAGCAGACTGAAATAGATAGATAGATAGATAGATAGATAGATAGGTAATGAACAGCCATAGATAGATAGATAGATAGATAGATAGATAGATAGATAGATAGATAGATAGATAGATTCGAGCAGACTGAAATAGATACATACAAGCAGACTGAGATAGATAGATAGATAGATAGATAGATAGATAGATAGATAGATAGATAGATTTGAGCAGACTGAGATAGATACATACGAGCAGACTGAAATAGATAGATAGATAGATAGATAGATAGATAGATAGATAGATAGATAGATAGATAGATAGATATGAACAGAATAAGACATATTTCTTAAATCTTTCAAAGGTTTTCTCTTTTCCGTTTGTCATATCCCCGATTATTTATGTCTTGTTTTAAAAACAAGCCTTTCTTTTTATGTCCCATGTTTGCATATCTGGATAGGAAATGTTTGTTCTGTTTGTTTATAAGTCCATCATAGCGTCATTTTATTTGGTTATACATTTCCGTGTTTATGCAACAACTTTGAGTGGACACGTGTGAATCTTTCCCGCTGAAATCGTTTCGGCTTTGTTTCTTTTTGTTTCTTTTTCATTGTTTACTTTTTTCGATATTATTTTTATAATGAGCAGACACGTTTATTTTTAGACAGATGCGTAATAAATGTATACATTTGCTTTTATTTATTCGACCCTATTAGTCATACGCGTATGTACTTTCGGTTTTCACGAAGGGGGTGTCAATTTGTGCACGCATGTGTTCGTGGACAAATGAAGATGAACTGGGAGAAGTTGTTTTCTTCGCTAAACCAATGCTTAAGTTGGTAACGGAAAAGTAAAAAAAAAAACAATAATATTAATTTTCGCCAGCGGCAGAGGGCAGAATATTACTCTTTCAAATATGTATGCACAAAACACTCGGCAAGTATATGTACAAACAGATGAGTTGAATTCAGTGACACTCACGCACGCCAAAAGCATAAACAGTAAGTGATAAATCTTGACAAGTGTAATGTTGCATTCTTTTTCATAATTCTCCCAGTGACATCAAACTTGAAACTCAAATTATCCACGGCTCGTCGGATTACTATGAGCGATCCTTCATAGCATTTCTAATTGCAAGAAAGGTTACTTGGCGGCGCCCTGATTTTTTTCAAACTACACTGCAACAGGTGGCTTCCATTATCATATCGGTTGAAAGAAAAGAACGACTGCATCCTCTGCAGACGGGTAAGACTCCCACAAAAAGAGTTCAACTTCCGGGTGGATAATTGCAGACTCGAATAGAAACTGGGCCCATGTCTTTCTCTTTGACATCTGCATAAATCGAGCATATGTCTAACATTTTGACTCTAGTGTAAGTCCGAACCTATGTCGAACTTACTGACTCTTGTGTTAAACCAAACATATTTCTAAATTTTTACCCACGTGTATAACCGGTCCTACGCTTAACATTTCGTCTTTAGTGTAAAACCGGACCTATGTCTTCCTTCTGCAAACAATAGTCAGTGTATTCATCTTTATGTGCCGTGTCCCTTCAGGACAGTGACCTAAACTATATAGATGATTACCAGGAAAGAATACCAAACAAATACCGATCTCTCTTGAGTTCCAGTGTATTTGAGTATATCGAAGAATATACAGACTTCAACATGGCTATAAAAAAATTGGATGCTTTATTTATTAAAATGTCCAACGAGGTGTTTGCAAGGCATCCGTTGGCCATAAGACAAGAGAAGCTAGGAGAGTCCCTGGATTATTTTTTTCAGAGAATTAGATAAGCTGAAAAGAAACTGCAATTTCAAAGACCACACTGCTGAGGAATGCAGTAACAAAGCTATGAGAGACGCCTTCATTTCAGGCTTAAGTTCCATTTCCATACAGCAGTCTCTCTGGAAAAAAATCCTAGATCTACAAACACATAATGGAGATGATGCTGGTGTCCAACAGGTCAGGAGATCTGAATGGACGACAAGACACCCAGATCGTTATGGATGGTAATGCTACATTTTTCTAGGGATAAAAATGTGGTAGTAGTACTATCCTATGTTCACTATGTACAAGCAATGGACTCACCCTAATTGGTTATTTAACTTGTAACGCCTATTTTCCTTTTAGTAGCTGATTTTCGTTTAGTTGAATAAAGCTTATTACTTCTACTGTTGTCCTGGGCTTTGTTTACTCTTCACAATGACCACAAAGCTCACCAAGTATTTTATGCGTTGTTTTCCTCTGTCCCCCTTGCCCTCTATCTGTTCCGTGAGTATCAAATTTTCCAAGTCCTCCTTCCTCATTGTGTGCCCCAGTAACCTCAACTGTCTTTTTTTAGTGTTATGCATTAGTTTCCATTTTCTCCAAAATTTCATCGTTGCTTACATGTTCGGTCAATGGTATCTTAAGCATCCTTCTGTAGAACCAGATTTTCAAGTCAGTATATTATTTAAACAAATTAACCGTATATAATCAATTTATGGCCATCTGTCACTTTTATTATTGCCAAGACTGTTTTTGCATATTTGTAACCTTTTATCAATTAAAGATAACTTCTGTTTGTTCCTTTCATTCTAGACAAAAATGGCAGCAAAATTTTATCAAATGTATTATTCAATGTCATCTTCAAATTCAGACGAACATTGGCTAATAAAAAAAAAGGAACATGTCTGAAGACCGCAAAAGATTTTACGGACAAAATTTCAATGTAAATGTTGCAGGATATTGTGTTGGACTGAAGGCAACCTCATGTGTGACATGTGCATCTTTTAGAGAAACATCCATTTTTCCACTTTGACCTTTGAATCAGTTTCTTGGATATTTTATCAATTTGACAATCTCTTAAATCCTATAGAATAAAACGTTAGACTTGTGACGTTTTAGACAATGATATATTTATGTGCGCTTCGAATCCATGAACAGATGAGAATTTCGAATGCTGATTTTCAAGTCAGGTAGACAATTCTCATTTGTAAACCTGGCAACCAGCGTCTTACCGTTTTCTCTATATGACCTTGAGTTAGACAAAGATAAGTTTAGAAAATATTAATTGCTATACTTTGAGAATATATTACGATAGGGAGACGTGCTTTTCCCATTGGACTGATCGACAATTTCTGATTTAAATTGTTTCTTCAAACTCTGACTTCAAATCAGAATCATATTGATCAATTGACTTAGTGATTGATTGGTTGATTTGTTTTTTAGGCTTATCAACCCTTTGCAGGTTATTTAAAGCCAGAAAATATTTTAGATTGTAAGAATTTTTGTGGAGTGGCGATAATAATGATTTACATATACATATTCCTACTAATTAACTCACAGTTGGGGAGAAGAGGTGGATTCATATTTTTCCAAGATTACTTGCGCCTAAGTTAATATAAGGAACCGTACTGAAATTTGAACTCGGCCCTCCGATTTCCAACTTCGAGCCGTTATCAATTATACCACTCACCCATCCAAACTTACAGCACCTGGTATTCTCAAGCGGTCACCCATCCAGGTGCTGACCAGCCTCGAAGTTGCTTATCTTCGCTGATCGTACGAAAACCAGTGTTTCAACGTGATATGGCCGTAAGCCCTATTGACCTGTGATTTTATAACGTCCGCTATAATTTCGCTTTTCGCTCTTTATCTTAAAATCCCCGACCGACGACATTTGTATAGTTTGTACTCATGTATTTCTTTTTTCTTTTACCAAAAAATTAGGTCAGAGAATTCTTATATATCTAAAATTTTATTTTATTTATTAGGTTGGAAATAAACTTGCCGCATTTTTTACATAAAAGATTACCTTTTCAGTACCTACTTTAAATTGCCATTAATTCTTACGTTCTAATATTTCTTTCTTTCTTTCTTTGCGGATTACTTGAGACTAGATTTCGTAAATTTTGTATTAATTCTACTTTTTTAAAATGAGTTTAGATCAAACTCATATCAGGCACTGTATGCTGTATAGTTTCAAAAAGGAGGCCTCTAGAAACGGAACTGGCAAGAAATATTTGTTCTGTTCATAAAAATCAAGTTTTAGGTGTCTGGATAAGTCAACAATGGTTGGTCAGTTTTGGTTGGGAAATCCTTCTCTCGAAGATTTCCATCAATCTGGACGACCAACTTCAGTCAATATTAAGCTTCTGGGAAAAGTCTAAAACAATTGCCTGAATATTAGTGAAAGATTTCAATACAAGTCACACTTAGATTATAAAACTCATTCATGAAATCAGAAAAGTATCTAAACTTAGCCAATGGACCCCTCATCATCTGAGCGCTTCTTTAATTAACCAAAGACTTACCCCAACCCTGCTCGTTATTGAAGAGAAGATTTACTATCAGACATTTCCTGGAAAGAATCGTCACCAGTATGAAAAATGGATTCTTCATAATAACGAAAACGATAATGGCGAACATACACTTTAAAAGGATAATCGATCCTCCTCTAGGCAGGACTCTACAGAAAATACTCTGTGTTTGAAAATGTTCTGTGTTTGGTGGCATATGGACGGTGTCGTCTACCATAAAGTGCTAGGCAAAAACAAATGTTTTACGGAGTGGCGTTGTCGTCAGTTGGAAACATAACACAAACATTACAGAGAAAGAGCGCATCATTGGTAAATCGTAAACGATAACACAAGACCACAACTTACCCAAGTCATTCAGGAAAAGCTTATGTCATTAGATATGGAAGAAGGTATTTTTGCTCATCCCCCTTACTCTCCCGACTTTGCTCCATATGACGATTATCCTTTCACGTCATTACATGTTTTAGAAAGTGTTATGATAATTTACCCACGAACGCATGGACTCTCCCAGCTATAAATAAGAGCAGGTACGGCCTTTTGGTGTGTGAAGTTTGCAGCAGTCAGCTCAGACAGTCGGACAGAATATTCTTGCTGTAACACTCTCGTTTGTATATGTTTGTATTACTGTTTTCTTTTAATATAGTTGTTTAATTCAATTCCTCTCTTGTGTCATTAATTCTGGCCCTAACAAGACCACAACAGAAAGAAAGCGTTTTATTAACTGTGAAAAGGTTAACAGATACTGAGTGTTTCTTGGCATCAAAACCTAAAATACTTTATGTTCGAGGGATCAACAATTTTCCGAATAGATATGATTATCTTATCGGTTATGAGAGGAAATATTATCTTGATTAAATATACCAATTAAGGCCAAAGAAACATTAATGTCTTTTCAATCTTCAAATGCCACATAATATATATATATATATTGTTTTATCATTATTGGTGGTGGTTTGTAAAAGAACACTTATGAGTTAACATAAAGAAGGATTATTGACGTGTTTAAGGAAACATATAAATGCGAACATATATATAAAAATTGATAAGCCTTCATAGTGAAGGCACGTTTATTAGGTGACTTTCAAATATTTTTTTTAATTACAAGATTAGGATAAATTGTCTACTAACTTTGAAAACACCACCTAAATCATGTTATAGCGATTTTCCAAGCGTAGCTTAGATGTGGCACAAGGCCGAAATTAGGGGGAACCCAGTGAGGATCGAACACACTACTCTGTCGTAACTGTTCCAGCGAGACAAGCTTGCTAACCGTTACACCGTCTCGAGGTGCCCCCTTAAATCATGTTATACAAGTGTTCAATTTCGCGTCCAATTACACTTATCTCTCATTGGCTCAAAAAGAGAGCACGTGACTTGCTGGAGGTCTCTCTGGAGCGAAAATAATCTCTATAGACGAGCAGAATACATGACATCATAAGTATACAGTTATAAGCACGCTTATCAAGTCTATATATAGTAAATACACGTTTCAATTATTCTATTGTCTTTTGATACCCTCGAGAGGGTTTTTTTTTTTTTTAACATTTCTTCTTTTACTGTGTATTTTTTTTTCTTTTTAATAAAAAGCGGTTTCTTAGTTTTTGTTCACATGCGATAACAGAAGTGGGTCGTTGGTGATTCTTCCGGTGTGTGATTTTAAACATATGTTCGTCCGATTGCCACCCAACTTTTCTCTGAAAACTTTTGCTGTTTGTATTCATCAAGTCGTGTTTGATCTTTAACATTTCACGATGGAAACCACATCTCCACAACGACTACCACCACCATCATCATCATCATCATCATCATTATAATTGTTTTACAATAGTTACTCTCTTGATTGTCATTGTGAACTGTCCAATTTTAAAATGGCGCATAATGGTGGTTGTCTTCAATCTGTCCCTTAAATACTCCGTACAGTTTTCCATTTCTATATTTCTCATTGTCTTACTCTTTTCACTGTACGGCGATTTTTGCTTTTCCCAGTGAATATTTTTCATATTTTCCTCGCCCTGTTGCAAATATTTTTCAAGTTTTGAATTCGATGGTTAGGATTCCGCTTCTTCCTTTCTTCTTTCCTTCCTCTCATTCTTACCATCCTTTCCTTCCTTCTTTCTTTCCTTCCTTCCTTCCTTCCTTCCATTTTTTCCTTCATCCTTTTCTTCTTTCTTTCCGCTTTTTCGTTTCTTTCTTCCTCTTCTTCCTTCTTTCCCTCCTCTTCTTCTTTCCTTCCTTCCTTCCTCTTCTTCCTTCATTCTTACTTTCCGATTCTTTTTTCATTCTTTCCTTCTTCTTCTTATTCTTCTTCTTCCTTCTTTACTTCTCCTTTCCTTCCTCCCTTCTTTTTAATATTTAGTATTATAGCAAATATCTAGTGTGCCCAAAAACATTATTACACCTATCCTTTATTGATAGTAAGCTAAGCTTCTTCTTCTTCTTCTTCTTCTTCTTCTTCTTCTTCTTCTTCTTCTTTGTACCGTAGCCCTTCAGGACTTGGAAATTACGGATCTTCACGATTCCCTGTCTTTTGTAGATCTTAGTAAATTTTATCTTTTCATTATCTCTCCTAAACCCTGTTTTAGCATTCATTTACACAAGCTCTCTAAGTAGGTTATACGTTGTTTTTCTCTGTCTCTCTCGCAATTCATAGGTCCTGTGAGTGTCAAATTTTCCAAACTCTCTTTCTGATGTTAACTATAAGTGTTCTTTTTGTTTTCATTTTCTCCATATAGGAGGACTGGAATTACATAACAGTTCATTACTCTTTTCTTTGTTTCTAACGAAATTTTCCTGTTTCTTAATACTTTATTCAGCTTTTAGAAGACATCTTTCGCTATTACAATGCGCCTTGAAATTTCGGTGTAGCTCGTTCCCTCCTCTGATAAAACACTTCACAGATATTTATATTGTTGTACTTGTTCGATTTTGGTCCCTCCAATTAATAATTTGCACACTGAACTGTTCCTTTTGCTAACAACCATGTATTCTGTCTTCTTGCAATTGACATTTAGTCCTTTCTTCTCACTTTCCTTCATTTCATTCTCCAGTTTGCAGTTTTCTTTTTGTATCAACATTAGGACAAAAATGAGAAATTGAAGCGTCAAGTTATCTTTGTACAGACCAACAAAAACACGAGCTTAAAGCAGTCATACGTAACATTATTGTTTATTCAACGCTGGATTCCGTCACTCAGTGTAGACGAGTGAGTGGGTAGTTTTGAGGTTTCCGCCAAACGTGCATTTTACATTCGTGTCAGGATGTAAGAGGCTCATATATATATATATATATATATATATATATATATATATATATATATATATATATATATATATACGTATGTATGTATATATATTTGTGTGTGTATACATTTTTATTTTAGGATATTACATCGAAAACATGTCAAAATCGTTACACAGTTGCAGTCGTGTTTCGATCCGCATACGACACATCTCATCAGACGATTTTAAATTAATGGCGACTAAAAGATTTAATCAGATTTAAAATATTGCTCTACTTCGTATTGAGTCCTCTTTTAAATTAAATGTTACGAATGTTGAAATTGTACTGTATTCGTTCTCATTTTACTTGGATATATACATATATATATATATATATATATATATATGTGTGTGTGTGTGTGTGTGTGTGTGTGTGTGTGTGTGTGTGTGTGTGTGTGTGTGTCTAGTTTGACCAGCATATGCGCATTCTAGTCGCAGTTGGGACAAGTCAGTGTTTCCATGTCTGTGCAGTCACAAATCTAACGGCTAGGAGATAATTATTTTAGGTGAACCAGCTGATGTACCTGACTTCTCTGATGGTCACAGTGTACAAAGTTTATTTTGTCAGTAAGTTATATACTACAGAGAAAACCGGAGGATTATGTTACAGCTTTTTTTAAAGCGACACTGTTGCCTTGAAAATCAGAGTACGATTTTTTTTTTATATTTGCTTAGTTTCGAACACTGATTCCTGGTGAATATATAAATAACACTGTTACGAAGCATATCCAATTTTATCCTATTATTATTAATATTAACCAAGAGAGCAGAACGCTAAAATATTAAGGCTGTAATACAAATATACGAGTGCTAATATATCCACCATCACGGACGGCTTCATAAGGATATAACAGTCACATGTATCACAACCAAATTTATGCAATATGAGCACAGTAAATGATAAATGTAGCTTATAACGTTGCAAGTTGAATGCAGTAACGAATATCTTCAGATCATGTAACCTAGTCCACTCAAACCGTTTCCGATGGAAGGTGTTCCAATGTATCTAGATGTGACTACCAAGTCACCTCAGCAGCTTCATCCTTTATACTTAAAAAAAAAAACTCTCTCGACAGCTGGCTATAATGATCACACACTACTGCTACTCATGAACAGATATGCACAAGACATTATTTTTTACTAATTTTCACACAATACAATGCTCAAGAGCCTCCCAATGTAGAGGGTTACTCAGTGGAGTTATATTAGCTTAGGAAAGGACGAGCATTAGGAGCATATAGCTAAAGTAGACTTTAGAAGGAACCAGAAATCCAATCCTAAATAGGAAACAAGGCATAAACATCTACTCCTGTTCAAAAGACCTGTGAGAATTGTGACTTGAACGACAGGCAAACCTATGGACTCTATGTACTACTATATGCCCAATTGGCTATGGCCAGGTAACTGACAAGAAAATTTGTGGTGTTGAACAGGACATTTACTGCGCCCGTCTTAATTCATCAAGAGAAAACATGTAGGTGTTAACATCTCTAATCAGTTAAGATTAGAATTCATGAGATTCGTGCCTAGGAAAGCATCAGGCTATTATTTTTGAGTGAGATAGATCAGCGCGCCAACAAAGTGACAGTGGGGTTACATTTGTAACAGACGAAGCCCAATATACCCTATCATTATAGTCAGTCTGATGAGGATATCTAAGGCATCACACCTAAATATGCTCATATCGGGGAGGGGGTAGTAATTGCTCATAAAATTAGTTCGCTCTTCACTGAAAGCAAATGATTCTCTTTTCTTAAATCCATGACAGTATGTTAATCTCATAATGTTTTGAAAAAGTTTGATTTTCTTGTGTCGAGACGGTTGATAAATTTAAATCTGAAGGATGAGGCAGGCACGGCAAGCTGGGAGTCAGAAGAGACTTTGGAACGCCTTCGGACTAGGTAAGCTAACTTGGAAGTATTTATAACTGGGCCTCAACTGGAAAAATTACGCATTGTAGCATATCACACTGTGCGTCTCCATTTATGAACTGAGCAGTAAAAATCCTAAATCTCTTTGTAGTGTAATGAATTACTATGGCATATTGTATTACTTATTCATGTCTAGTTTAATTTCAAAATCTGAAGCCGAAAGACATATGTTCTTAATACAATGATGTGATAATTTCTGTATTCCTTAACGGTTATATAAAACAATATATGGATACAAGCATGATAGATAGATAGATAGATAGATAGATAGATAGATAGATAGATAGATATGAACACGCTCGCTGGCATGTATATCGATAGATGGATAAACTGAGAGACAGCGATAGCTCCAGCGAGAAAGACAGACATAGAGATATATATTTCGATATATATGAACAGTGACATAGATAGATAGATAGATAGATAGATAGATAGATAGATAGATAGATAGATAGATAGATATGAACACACTCTCTGACATAATTATATAGATAGATGAACAAACTGAGAGACAGATATAGCTACAAATATATATATATATATATAGATAGATAGATAGATAGATAGATAGATAGATATTTCGATATATATGAAGATAGATAGATAGATAGATAGATAGATATTTGCCTCGAGTTGAATACTTACAAGTGCAAGATGAACATCAAAATACAGTTCCTTTATATTTTAAGAGAAACAAAACAAATATTTGTTGGCATATATTCTGAGATAATTAAAGAATAAAATAAAAGAGAATGGGTAAATCACGAGGGAATGAAAGCGGTTAGTTCTTGGGTAGAATGCCAAACTCAAAAATTAACCGACTCTTATTTATGATGATTATTTCTCAGCAATATGTCCACTTCTTCTCGTCCCGATCTTTTTTATTGACTCAGTTTATATTATTTTGTGAGAATATAAAAAATACATCAAATATACGCCATTTTGCTTTTCTTTGTCATGTTTTATTTGAGTGGATTTTATTTATCCGTTAAAGGGAAACGATTTACTGCAACGTGTAAAATATTTCTTTTTTATTAACTCTTTAAATCTATCGTTCTTTCAAAAACGTCTGGCTTTAGAAACATAAAAGTATTGGGAGTGGCCCATGTGACATTAAGGGCGGAGAATGATATATTATAATTTGGATTAGGAGATATATTTATAAGCTTGCTCTACGCAATAAAAATATTCGGAATAGAGCGGGAAAATCCGTTATCAAAATATCAAGTTTGAGAGAAATAATGATTATATGTTTTTATTAGTTTTACAACTTAGTTCACAATTCGAACGCATACAAGGGCACACATTTCCTTAGCTATTAATACACAAACATTCTTATATGCAGCAAATCCCTGGGTTACGACACTCCCGACTTACAACGATTTGTGGTTACGTCGCAATATCCATTAATGATGTTTCCTGTCTGTTCGCCATATTAGATTTTTGCGCATGCGCTCTCTTCCGTTTGGGTTGTGTTTGTGGAGACTTATTGCCCTTCATTATGGCGCCCAAGCGTAGTGCAACCTGTTTTGATGGGATGATTCGAAGAAAAGGTAAGTCATCATCAGAGAAGGGAATTACACGTACGTTCCTACTCACACGGAAAATAGCGTTACGACGCATCGTAGAAATGGAACTCTGTCGTAAGTCGAGGATCAGCCTGTATAGGTTTACAATTGTTTCTTTTCTTAGAATAGGTATCAAGCTTCATAAGATAACAGCAGAATCGTGAAACGCTAAGACATTAAATTAATTTGAAAATCGAAGTTTTGAAAATGAATTTTTCGTTTAAAAATTAATTTGTGATAGTTTTAAAATAATAAGTGCTACTTTTAAAAATGTAATGATTTAAATAATGCAATTTTCCTTCTAGACATTTCATCTGTCAAATGATGAGATCTTGCCGCGAATCTAGTATTGCGCTTAAATCCATAGAGGAAAGTTTATCGGAACAATTATGCTTTAACAGATAAAACCTCTGTACAACAACAGTAAACGTGTTTACAGTATTTATCATCACTTGTTAAGTGATTTACTAGTGAAAAGCGACGGTGATGAGCGCGTTATCACCGATACCGTTTATTTTAAAAATCCATTTCTCTGTTATTTTAAACTTAAAGTAAATATTTTTTTCAAGTCAGATTAATTATAATTTAAATCAGCTAATATTCCCCAAAAAGTTTCAGAAAAGTATGTTTTATTTTTAGAAAATTTTAAAACCGAGAATTAACTTTTATTTACAAATGTAACAAAATGGCCTATATTTATCGATTTTTATCGATTTTTTGAAGGCGACCAAAAAGTTGAGATCCCAGTCAATATAATTTTTATTTGAAATACACCAGGGTATTTTGCTTACTGGAAATAGTAAATTTAATCTTTTAGCTTTCAATTAAAGCTGAAATGAAAGCTTCAAGAAAGTTTTTTAATTTTTTTAAATTCATTTTAAACCTTAGGCATCGAAACTGAATGAAAGTACTTACTTTTATTAAAGCTTCGTCAGAGACAGAGCGAAAACCTACAAAAAGACAGAAACACTGCTACTTTCAATTATGTTTGTGTTAGTTCTCATTGGTCAGATATATGTCAATAAGATAAATCTATATGTATGTTTGTGAAGATTCTTATATGTCTAAGTGGGCATCGGATGGTAAAGTTTATTTGTAGTTGTGAATGTGTGTCTGTCTAGTGGGAGTTCCATCTTCTCTTTTGTGCAGACAAATCCGCGCAGCGGGGTGTTACAAGATTCTAATTTATTGTTGACCTCTTTAAGAATGTATTCTTTGTATTAGATAGTTATAAGTTAGATCCTTTAAGAATGGATTCAAAGAAAGATGGCGATGTAATATAATGTTTAGGCGTGTGATTATAATCAGTAATAATGTTATTAAGTTTTCAATATATTTCTCTATAAAGAATCATGTTCTTTTTTTAATTAGAGTGGCATTAGTGAAATCAAAGTTATGTCCAGCAATGTTTCTATGCAAAACGAGAAAGTTAGATCGTTTGTCCAAAAGCAAGTGTCTCTTGTATTTGTAGATGCGGGCTTTTTAGTCACCAGACAGTGTTGGTCTCTCTATTCCCACTCTATATCTATAAATGACCTAAATCCGACAGATCCATCTTCCTAAATAAATATAGTAGATTTCAAATAATATATATATATATATATATATATATATATATATATATATATAAATGTAAAATATGAGATAAAGTTTAAAATATCAAATAAACTGTAGACTCAATTAAAAAATCGGCAGAGCTTAAATATATTATTTAATATTAGAAATACAGTAATATCACAATCCGCATCTGACTTCCATGCGGTAACACAATATTCAAGCGGATAGCATATGAAGCTAAAGTGATTGGTTAGGGCAAAATCAAATACTACATAGGAGCCGCCGAAGGCGAATGGAAAAAACGCTTCTAAAATTACAAACTTAGTTTAAGCAAGAGAAAATACAAAGGTAGCACCACTCTTTCTAAATACTATTGGTATTGGTATATCATTAGCACCAGAGAAATACTTTCCAACTATCACCTTGAAAATACTGGCTGAAACCCGACCGTATAACAGAGTTGACAAAGACAGCAATTTTCGCCTAAGTGAAAATTTACTAATCCCAAGGCGAATGGGTGACCAGATGTGGAATAAGAGAAACAAGCTGATGGCCTTATGTAGACATAGATGTAAGTATTTAATTAAACACACCTGGGGCAGTAGATATCTGCCAATCCTGGATTATATATCTCTATAGCTATTTATTTCATCCGCCTGATGATTGTGTTACCGCATGAAACACCGAGTAATGGATTTTGATATTATTGTATTATTAATAATATATATATATATATATATATATATCTTTGAAGTCTCGTTGTTTATAGCCTTACGCTCCTTTGCTGAGGCCCTTTTGTTTTATGTTATCGACGACGTTTTAAACAGACTTCTGATTTTGTCAATGATTGAGTTTTTCTTTCAATTAATGGTCATTCTTCGGCTTTTCCTTCTTGGCCCGTATGGGAATTTCTCCTCTTGATGAGTTCAGTTAGTGTGTCCATACTAGGCACACATCAGCTAACCTCTTTGTAACACCTTGAGATAGCAAACGGGGCATAAAATGCCAATTCAGAAAAAAAAAATAACACTTTCCAAATGCCAGATAACTCTTTGCAACTGCATGAAATAAATAGTAGTGATCGGTCAATGTACGCCGGAAAGTAATGAAGAAAATGATACTAATGCTCTGTTATTTTCCTGTCGAGCTCTTTTCCCCCGGTATATCTTTGTATCATAGTCCCTTAAGAGATGCTTATTTCGGCATTTACTAACTTATAGAACTTACGGTTACATTTAGTACTTCGCTTAAATGCATAGTCTAAGTACCATAGTGGAAAGTTTATCTGACCAATTACCATGAATGTATTTAAAGTGACTGAAGCCGAGATGCCAGGTCAGGACCAATAACGATGGAATTTTTTTTTTTTTGAATTTTATCAAGAACTAGCAGTAGAGCCCGGCATTGCCCAGGGATGTAACTGTAAGAGATAGATCAAGTATCGAACATCATAAAGACTGAAAAATAAAATTGACAAAGTTTATTGTTCAAGGTTGACTGACACGCATGTCTTAATTAGTTTTTTTTGTTTTGTTTTGTTTTTTTTTACGAATTGGTCAAACTCAAACAAAAACATGTTTTTCAATCGTCATGAGTCTACCAATTGAATAGAATTTTATTATAAACAATTGTCTTGTAAATGGAATTTTTAAAGCATTCTGAATGTAAAAATAAAGAAAAAAGTGTGCAAGACAATAAGAAACATTACCTGCCAAAAAAAAGTGAAGTTTTGTTGAAATCGGTTGAAAAATGTAGGAAATCCGATCCCATATATAAACGAACACACACACACAAACAACCTGGGTTTTATAATAAGTATAACTCAATAACTCGATATTAATAAGTATAACTCGATATGAGTTGTCCCCCTTTCATTAATGCCTCTTAATCGTGTTTTCAAATTGATTTCGGGCAAAAACAATTGTGATTTTCCAATTTTTGGTGCTGTCAGAACCACCGCAAGGTAATTTTACGTAGTCCTGTGAAGTTTTGTTGAAATCGGTTGAAAAATGTAGGAAATCCGATCCAATATATAAACGTACAGACACACACACACACACAATCTGCGTTTTATAATAAGTAAGATACCAGACCAGATGCGACAGAAATATTAAAATCATGGACGAATGGTAGACATATAAATATGTAAGGTTGATTCCGGAAAGAAACATTTTCTAGCATGACACAGTGAACCAATTTTCCTAAGTGCATACCTCTCAATGATTCAATATAATTCTTCCTCTTCACGTTAGCGGAAAAACGTTTACCGGAGAAAGCGCAATGAGTCAGTCGCTTGTAGATTAGCATTAGTGATGCTGATGGAAAGCAATACATACATATATATATATATATATATATATATATATATATATATATATATATATTTATTTATGGGGGGTGCATATAAGTTCACAGCCTGTAAGATTTGATATTTGACTGTTTGGTTACATTTTGTGAAGTGCCCCGTGCACATAAGCTCTCATCAACTTATTCATATATATATATATATATATATATATATATATATATATATATATATATATATATATGGGGGATATGTGGGGAGTGAAGATGCCGAGAGATGTGTGAAGATGACGAGAGAAAGCGAAAAATTTTATTAAACACGCGTTTCGCCGAAAAAGCATGTAGTCACATTGGCTTCTTCAGTTTAAATGGAAGAAAGACAAATCTGTACTTGATGAAAAGGTTTTGGGATCTCTGAGGATAAGTGGTTATCATAAATCAAAATAATTACGATAGCTTCTCCCCTCCTAATTTTCATACTTGGAGAGTGTCTGTGCTTTTTTATATATATATTAGTTAGAGCCGTATTGGTATTGTATATATATATATATATATATATATATATATATATATATATATATATATATATATATATATATATATATATATACGAAGAAATATAGTATATATATATATATATATATATATATATACGAAGAAATATAGTCTTAAGGTGTGCTACATTTATGGGATAAAGTTCTCAATATCAAGGATAGAGCGTGTGTAAATATAAAAGTGAACATTGAAGCCAACACTTAGAGACCACGAGTGATGTTATTTTTCTCGGCTATTTATATATACGTGTCAGTGGTGCAATGTGGGTAATCTATTTTGGCGGTTATTTTGCCGGAAGTCGTTTATTGGTTTATTTGTTTATTTGGGTTAAATTATTTTACTTGTCATTATTCATTTTATTTTTATTTTTATTTCTTATCTTATATATTTTTTTTTTATTTTAATCGGTGTTTTTGTTAACGTAGTAAAAATTTGTTTTTATTGCTTATTTAAAAGTTTTGTTTTGGTTTGAGAAGATAATTAAAGCTATTTATTCAATTTTGAGGTTGATTGTTGTAGTTTATTCTAATTATAATTTTGGCGGAAGCAGTTTTTAATTTGTTAATTACTTTATGTAATTATTTGGACTGATTATCTTTATTTGTTTTTTGTAAGTAGTTAATTTATCGGGATCGGTTTGTTAGTTTATTTATTTATTTATTTGGATAAATTTAGATTAATTTATTTTACTTGTTTTTTATTATTTATTTATTATACTGTTTATTTTTATTTACACTTTTCGGTTTTCGATTTTTAAGTAACATAGTATTTTTTATCGTTATATAATAGTTATAGCTATGTTTTTCGTCCAATTTTTCGGTTTGATTTTTTTTATTCTAACTAATATTTTGGTCATAATGGTTTGTTAATTTGTTTATTATTATTTAATTTATTTGCTTGGGTTCACTGATTTTCTTTTCTATTTATTTATTCTATTTCCTCTATTCTATCGGGTGTGATTTGGTAATTTGTTTGGGTTAATTTATTTTACTTATTTTACTGTAATTTTGTTTGTTTATTTATTTATGGTTTTTTTTTTCAATTTTTTTAGTTTTTCAGCTATTTTTTCCTCCAAGTTTTCAAGTTTTTGATTGGTTGTTGTAGGCTGATGATCTTTTCCTTATTTTCCAAGATATGGTGTGATGTGCTTTTTTTTTAATTTCCCAGATATACTTAGAAAGCATTATGCTCTTCGCATATTTACTATTTGTGAAAGATGGTTTGTGTGCATAATTTCTTTGTTTCCAGGGTCTTTCAGTTACTCCTATGTATACTTTTTCTTCATTATCTGGTGATTTTATCGTGGCTTGTTATATTACGTTATTTTGTAAGCAATTACGTTTAAGGGGCATTGGTTCTTTATTCTGCAGTTACACGTGGGTTTAATTTGTTCGTGTGGTTTGTTGATAATTTTCTTGTTGTGCTTTTTATTATTTGTGCCATGCAACTGTAGCTGATTTTTACTGTGTTTATTTTTTTAAAAAATACGGCTTCAAAACCAAAAAATGCCCCTTGCAACAAAAACAACTAGACGACTTCGGAAAGACTTAACTGACCTAGTTGAAAACATAAAATTTCATAAAAAACAAGATGCATTTTTTAAAAAACTAAAAGAAGATATAACTAAAATAAACAATTCAGCAAATGCATTTATCGCAGCTGACAAAACAAGAAACTTATACAAACCAAACCAAGCCATCCTACGCACAATAAATTACTTAAGAATAACATAAGCAAAACATACAAAAAACACCCCAAACAATAGAACACGATATCAATAAGGAAGCTAAAGCAATCGCTCCCAAATTAGACCTAGATGACCGAATAAGTTGCATCAGCAAGGCGCAAGCCTTTATCACACTAAAAGACAAAAAAATTTCAAAACCAACCCTGCATGCAGACTTATAGACGCAGCCGAAAGCGAACTAGGTAAAATAAGTAAAACGATACTAGAAAGAATTAATTCTGAACTTAGGAAGAAGTTAGGAGTAAACCAGTGGAAAAACACAATAACAACATGTTCCACAGCATAAACAACAAACAAAATTGCCAATTCCTACAATTAGACATAATAGAATTTTACCCATACATAACAGACCCCATGCTAGATAAGACTTATCTCAGGAACAAATAATAATAAAACCAAACGGAATCGACATCATTAAGCACTCCCGTAAATCATTACTATTTCACAATGAAGAAGCATGGATAAAGAAAGATGGCGTCTTTGACACTATAATGGGAAGCTTTGATGGTGCATGACCCGTGAATTGATAGGTATATACATACTACACGAACTAAGCAAAATAATAGATAGAAATGACACAGAACTCTACAGGGACGAGGGTCTCATAATCTTAAGAAACTGTAACAAACAAAACACAGACAAAACTAGAAAAGCAATAATAAAGATTTTCAAAAATAACGAATTCGACATAGATATAAAAACTAACCTAAACGAAGTAGATTTTCAAGATGTTACCTTCAACCTAAGAAAAGTCACATATAAACCATACAGAAAACCCAATGATAAACCACTTTATATACACACATCTTCCAACCACCTGCCATCTATAATCAAACAGATACCAAAATCGATTAACCGCAGGCTTTCCGACAACTCCTCCAATGAATCCATATTTAACAAAGCTAAGAATGACTACGAAACAGCCCTAAAAGATAGTAGATTCCCAGCAACACTTATATACTTACCACAGAACAAAAAAAGGCCAACAGGAAAAGAAATATCAAATGATTCAATCCACCGTACAGTTAAAACAAACGTAGGAAAAATATTCATCAATCTATTACACAAACACTCCCCGGAATCAAGCACCCTACACAAAATATTCAACAAAAACACATTAAAAATCAGCTACAGTTGCACCGAGAACATGCCACAAAGTAAAAAAAAGCACAACAAGAAAATTATCAACAAACCACACGAACAAATTAAACCCACGTGTAACTGCAGAATAAAGAACCAATGCCCCTTAAACGGTAATTGCTTACAAAATAACGTAATATAACAAGCCACGATAAAATCACCACATAGGAGTAACTAAAGGACCCTGGAAACAAAGAAATTATGCACACAAACCATCTTTCACAAATAGTAAATATGCGAAGAGCACAATGCT